CGCTCACCTTCTTTTTGTACATTGTATCGTTTCTTTCCCGCATATGCACTGGGAGAAGAGTGCGCCAAACGGTAAGAGCCATTAAAATGTGTTCATACTTGCGACAACGTCTCCAGCGACCAGTAGCGTCCACCAGCGTCCCGAGCGTCTGGCAGCGTCAGCGATAGAGTATAGATATCGATCTAGCTTCTGCCAGCGTCCATCAGCGATCAACAGCAGACTGAGAGTAAGGGGCGTTAGCAGGGTACCACCCAACTGCTACCCTCCTATCTCCCCTTACTCTACCAGCAGTCTGCTACCTTCCTACTTCCCTATACTCTACCAGCTGTCTTCTACCCTCCTATCCACCCATACTCTCTACCAGCAGTCTGCTGCTCGCTGGGTGGACGCTAGCAGACGCTGATAGACGCTGGAAGACACTGGCAGATGCTAGATCGATATCTATACTGTTCCTAGTCGCTGACGCCGGACGCTCGGAACGCTGGTGACACGCTTGTCGCTGGTGGACCTGCCGCAGAGTATAAACCCAGCCTCAGAATGCACCCCACATTTCAAATAAAGTATGCGGCCACTTGCTCCCTATTTTCGGGATACGGTGCGTAATAAAAGGGAATGGGAATGATGATGTGGCGATGCAAACTAACGGGAGCGCAAACCAGCCAAAATTTAGTTTGTTTATTTACCTATGCCACACGTGAACGCACTGAGAGAAGACATACAGTTGATAACATCACAATCAGTGGGGGGGGGCGATTTTGATAGGAATGATATGAGCCCACCCGCGGCGTTTCCTTCACTGGTTATTTTCCTTCTGAATCGATCACTAATCAGTCACTACTGGTATACCAAGGCAGCCGGGGGCAGGCTCATTCTACTCCTCCTTTGACTGCTACGTTATAACTTGACTGCTCCTATTTGCACTGCTACTAAGATTTTGAGCTACAAACCGCGCCATAGGCGCTGGCGCCAAAACCTCGAAGCACGGAATTTGTTGGAAACTCAATATTTAGTAGATTACTCGACTTCATACTACAACTTTGTAAACCTTTGCTCAATGAGTTTTAAGGGGAGGGGCTCCTTCAAAAAAGTTTCAGTTCCGTCAAGCACGTACCCTCAGTCCGGGCCAAGATTCGCATCATCGCTTCTATGTTTATACTAGTACAAAAGTCGAATGTTTTTATGCGATTTTACGAGCTTCGGAAGTTAGAGGTCTGCCCCTGATTCATACGAGTCTCTACGGCTGCGTTCCTACTTTGCCGCAGCGTCAACCAGCGACCAATAGCGTCCACCAGCGTTCTGAGGGACCGGCAGCGCCAGCGGCCAGGAAAGTGTAGATATCGATCCAGCAGCGCTTCGAGGGCTGAGGAAGTATAGGTATCAATCTAGCGTCTGCCGGCGTCTGCCAGCGTCCACTAGCGACGAGCAGCGTCGTTAGTGGAGAGTAGTTAGTGGAGAGTATTGGGCGATAAGAGAGTGGCAAACAGCTGGTACCCTCCTATCGCCCCATACTCTCTACCAGCAGCCTCGCTGGTAAACGCTGGCAGACGCTAAATCGATTTCTATACTTTCCTAGTCGCTGACGTTGCCGGATGCTCGGAACGCTGGTGGACGCTGCCGCAAAGTATAAACGCAGCCTATCCTCTCATTTATATATGCAGGTACAGCAAGTCAAATTGCTCTTCCGTTCCAAAGTCCTTTACTGCAAACTCCAACCTTTTAGCTTCTACAATTTGAGACCTCACCTTTAGGATTTATGCTAGACCAGTCGGATCACCCGACTGCCGCCGGGTGCTCTTCCTTCTGTATCACGGCCCGGCTTCGCTGGGATTATTATCAAAATTTGGGCGTGCTCAGACTAAAGGGGTGGGGGAGGGGTTACATTAGCTCGCTACACTCTTTTGCTAGTTTCCGTGAACTTATACGAGTCTCGCTTCGTTGAAGCATGTAAAAGTGCTGTCACGAGAACTCAAAGGTCTCCACAGGAGGCATCAGTAATGATCAATGGAGGACAAGGGAAAATGCACCCATCAAGGCGAACTGAGAAATTTTTTCCAGAGGCTGACTTGGTTACAGATTTGTCCTGAGGGGTGGGGAGAGGAGGTGACGAGGTTGAATGACTCTCAGAAAAAAGGTAATGCGTTATGCAGTATTCGGACAAATCGATCTGAATTCCTTCAATCGCCTCAACTTTCTATTTTCCCTGCGCTTCCAGGTCCTCTATGATCACTGTGACCCTACAAGTTCCTACTTTTTTACGACTGATAGTGAGTTAGTCACTCCACCAACGTCAACTTTCCGTTTCCTGGATAAGAGCTCGTTCTTGACTCGCGACTGTTTTCGCACCATTTCGATGCCTTTTTCAGCACAGTCTCTCTACATTCTCTGTGCTCTGTCTTTCGCGCTAGGACCTCCACCAAATGTTCTAGGCGTCATAACCTGGGATTTACCTTAGTCATTTCATCTGCTATTTACTTACTATCAATGTTACTGTTTCAGCGTCACCTATATTACGGCCGCCGACGCGCGAGTATGGAAGGAGCGATTTCATCGCGATAGCAAATTGCTCGCGGCGCGCCCTCTTCAATCGATTCGTCGCCCAAAGTAAGCTTTCTCCTCTGCCAAGCTGGGGTTCTAAAGAAGACCATTGAGTTCGCTGAACCCGAAAAAATAACCATTTTAAGTGGAGCAATATCGTTACTGACATTATTCAGGGTTTTTATCCGAATTTCTACGAAGTCCTTACTTTCACGAAGGGATTCACCCCAGCGTGACACGGACGACACTGAGCCGCCATCAGAATCATCAGAGATCGCCGTGATGCAGTCACCTATGGAGACATCGCAACATGTCGAAAAGGATGAGGTCGAAAAGGCTGAGGTCATCGCTGAGGAACAGCCTGAACCGCAAACCAGCGAGGAAAAACGCTCGATCCGTCTATGTTGGAAGAATTCGCGCTCAATTTAATCAAGGTGAGCCAGGATAATTGGCTTTCAAGAGTCCTCAAGAGATTTCTAATTTGAATTTCCGCAATTAAAAGTCCACGAGATGCGCCACTGTATTGCGCCCTTGTATCACAGATTCCTTCACTCGTTTTGAGAGACCGATTAATATGAATGGTTCAAATAGAAGTTTTTCTTTACGGACCTTTACAAAAGAATGCGCATTACCTCGCACAAACTGAGATACTGTATTAAAGGCGTTGGCACGATAAATCTCAAACGAAGTAGTAGGACTGAATACGCCTGGTTAGGGAGGGAATCCGCGGCCTGAGCAGGCGCTGCATAATGCCTTTTCCAAGGGAGGTGCCCTTATAAGGGCCCTATCAAGCCACAACTTTACGTCCCAAACGCCCGCCACGCCCGCCCGCCCACAAATGGACGACCGTTCCTGACGCTCGAATCGATTCATTTGCTAAGCAAATTATGAAGCGAAGGGATTGGTATGAAGCGGCCGTGATGCTGCATGGATATATGAGTACACATATGCAGCCGTACCTTCGGTAGCGGTTATTGGCAAGATGCCTACGGGAAACTCGTCCAAAATTGATTACTAACACAGTGAACGGAGGCTCTTTTTCGCAGGATTTTGACCGTTTCACTCCGTTCTTTCGCCATTTCCCCACTATATAGCGCCCTACTAGCATTTTAGGCCGAGCACCAAATCATCGTGCCAACTGCCTTTAATACCTGCCTTAGTTTATCACAACGATGCTGAGTTACGTGCAAAAGTCAGTCTCTGAGCGAGACTCGAACCCGCATGTCCCGCTGGCCGAGCGATTGAGATTAGCGGTATACGCTGATTCGAGCCCTGCTTGGAGGTTGACCTTTGTTCATAATTCAGCATTGTTCTTGTAACTTCCGGAGTGAGAACTGCGCTGTTAAACAGAAGTTCTCATAGTAGATCTTTTAAAAGCTGTCCTTAAAGTTTGGAAGGATTTGAAGGTATTATGCAGAAGAAAAAAGCAAATCGGCCTATGGATAAGTTGATTATAAGCAGTGCTTCACCCTTGAATCGATTTTACACACCTTGCACGTCGTCCTCCTCATTTCATCCTGGGATAACAGCTACGCTCCTAGATGTCCTAGGCTCAAAATATTGTGCTTCTTCCCTTCCCATCATCTTCAAAATGTTGTTTTCAGTCCAGAAATATCCAGAATTTTTCATCAGATTTGAAAAATTTCTGCCAAATACTTTTGAACTCTTGTAATCGCTTTCGTCGCTTTGCTTCAGCCCCAACGGTCGCTAGTCTTTTGTTTCATCAAGATCCCCCGTGCGAGCCGCAATTTATTTATTTATTTATTTATTTGCACTCGTTGTCCATTGACTTCACATTATGACCCTAAGAGTTTCCAATTTATATGCTTTTAGCTGTGGGGATCCCACCCTTCCAAGAGCCGCAGTGTTGTTAACCCTCGTAAAGCCGATTAAATGACGTTAAGACCAGTTATTTTCAGGCTCCCTGCTTGGCAGTCCCGATCGGCACGGCAGTCCGCCCTACACGGTACTGAGGAAGAGCAGCCAGTCGTCGAGGTCTTCACGGTTTAGCCAAAGAGACTCCGAATCAAAGGAAATTCTCTCCGTCATCCAGTCGTCCTCGATCGGAAACAGAAGCCAGTGTCAAGCACACTCCTGAAGAGCAGCCGTCAACGGTATCCGAAGCGGAAAAACCGGAGGAGGCTGAACCGACCACGGCTGACGTAAGCAATTTTTATCCGCTGACACGGAACTTTATGCTCTAAGCACGTCCACGCTCAGCCCGTAATGGGCGAGTTGAGGACGGGCGCCAGCCGTACTGTCCTCAGCTTGCGGCGTCCATGTACTGGTCTGTCAGTGTGGTTAAAGGAATAGATGTGCCCACCACAGGTGTGGTTGAAAGGCAGGCCTTCAAATTGTAGGACGACTCCGCCCATGTGATTAGCGTGGACGACGCCTTCAAATAATGCAACGTTTCAGGAGTTGTGAAGTTCTTACATGAAAGCTTCTTTGTTCAGGCTTCGAATATGTCACCAAAAACTGACCGGCCAACCAGTGGAACGGACGATGAACGAATGATTGGAAAGGCGGTCATTGACGCTTCGACCAAAGCTCCCAGTATAGCAGTGGAAAGTGTCAATCAGCAGGTAAACCAGCGAGGACCTTATGTTCCATTGTATTGTTAAGAGGATGTGGGCCAGGAGATCCGAGTGGTGGGCGGCCGTGCGTTGTAACTGAACCTAAAGTGCTATTTCAGGCCAAACAAGTATCTCGCTCAAAGTTCTGGGGTGAAGCTCGGACGGTCGTTCTAGAACGAGAGCCGAACAAGTCGTTTGGTAAGTCAGCGCTGACCTCTTTTTATACTTCTTTTTCCTCTGGACGGTTTTCCTGACGAATATGTGTAGTGGCGCTGGCCATTTGTTTCAGGTATATCAATAGTAGGCGGGCGAGTTGAAGTCTCCCAAAAGGGTGGATTGCCTGGAACGGGTAGCACAGTATCAGGAATTTTCATCAAGAGCGTGCTACCAAACAGTCCTGCCGGCCGATCGGGTATGATGAACATGGGCGATCGAGTAATCTCTGTGAGTCAATCTGATCGCTTTTCAAAATAGGCATCATCGATGGCTTTGAGGAAAAAACACATATTGGAGCAGTTCGGCTTGGGGGGGGGGTCTGCACTTTTGCTGCTTCCCGTCTACGTCATCAATGCTGTGCAAGCTGACAAAACGAATTCCCTACTACTTTGAATTGGCTTCACAAGAAGTCACAGATCCTGTCTGATGGCTCGAATTTACTGTGGGAAGTAGCAGACGGCAAAATGACCCACCCCAAGCCGAACTGCACCCAAATACTTGTTTGTCTGATAACTACGGCGCTACCTAGCAGTTGACATCCTACTTTTCGAGCATTCATCAACATTAATCTTGAAGTTTTCCTACAAATAGTATGGCTCCATGAGCACGATCATCACCTCCTTTTGATGAAACACGCCCCTAATCGAGTTCGTGACCCGAGCTTCAGAAAGTTGACTTGGAAGGGGTAGATGGGACGCAACATAGTTCTCTTACTGTTAAGTAGGCGGTTCCACCCATTTTTTCATACAAACCTTAAGGGCCTATAATTTAGGAATCCAAAATACTTAACGCAAGCAAAAGTTGTAGGGTAATTTCAGAAAAAAAACGCATGATAGCCTCGAAAAGGAGCGTGGCAGTCTGGGGCGTGGCCTAGCATTAGGTCTGGTGAGCTCGATGGTGCAGCGATCGGTTTCGCTCGCAATATGCGGGCGTTTCGCGAAAAACTGTGCAGAGAGGCTTGCTAAGAAAACTCTTGCCATGTTAAGTTTGTGATCTGAGCTCCAGAAAGTGGGATCAAAATGGGTAAATAGAACCATGCAATTCATAGCTCTCTTATTGTACAGCTAAGTAACTCCGCCCAATCATTTCAGGTAAACGATATTGACCTACGAGAAGCGACTCATGAACAGGCGGTGAATGCCATCAAGAACGCCACGAATCCAGTTCGCTTTGTACTTCAGTCGCTTCACAGCTTTACCCCACAACAGGTACGTTCACGCTGCTGGCTCGGTGTAGTTCGGGCTTGGTGGGGGCATCAAATGGCGCTCAGCGAAGCTGCAACCCGCCATCTTGTGAGGACCTGTAAAC